CCCCGCCCGCCAGCGGACGCGGCGCTGATTGGGCGGCGCCGAGGACACGCCCACGGCGCGGCGCGCTCCGGGGGAGAGCGGCGCGCGAGGAAAGGGCGGGGGCGGTAAAGGGGGCGTGGTCACACGGGGATGGGCGGGGTTATGCAAAATAGGGCGCGGGCATGACGGGAGGAAGGGAAGGCGGGATTGGGGGGGCGAGAAGGGGGGGATAATATGGGATTGGGGGGAAATGGGATGGGCAGGGGAAGGGTAAAGTGGGATTTGGGGGGTAAAATGGGATGGGGTGGGAACAGGGTTAGTATGGGATGGGTAGGAAAGGGTTAAGACGGAATTTTGGGGGTAAAATGGGATGGGGTGGGAACGGGGGTAATATGGGATGGGGTAGGAGAGGGCTGAGATGGAATTTGGGGGGTGGGATGGGATAGGGTGGGGTGGGAAGCAGCAGTAATATGGGATGGGTAGGAAAGGGTTGAGATGGAATTTGGGGGATAAAATGGATGGGATGGGATGGGATGGGATGGGATCCATGGGATGGGATGGGATGGGATGGGATGGGATGGGATGGGATGGGATGGGATGCAGCAGTACTGTGGGATGGGGAGGATGGGGCAGGAGTGGGGATGACACGGAGTGAGGAGGGTGAGGTCAGGCGTGGGGAGGTTCAGGTGGGATGGGACGGGATCAGCGTGAGAGGGGCAAGTGCAGGCCCAGCCCTGCCCTGCTGGTCAGTGCCCCCATCCCTGCTCCAGGGGCTGGTGGCCTCCAGGGATCACAGCCCTGTCACCCCCAGGACAGGGCGGGGGTCACCCAGTGCCCCCCACCCCGAGGCCCTGCAGGGCCCAGCAGAGGTGACAGAACAAGACTGACACAGGGGGAAAAGAGGTTTTATTCCAGGTTTTTCCCCCAGGACGCGCCTCCTGCTGCCACCAGCGTGTCCACAGAGCTGGGCACGCAGCAGGGCCCCTCCCACCCCGAGACCCCCGTTTGGCACTGGTGTGGGGGACACGGCCGGACACCGGCGGGGCTGGAAGGAGCTGGGGGCTGCCTCGGGATCACTGCCCGAGCCCCCTCCCCACGCCCCCAAGGCACATCTGGAGGGGCTGAGGGTCCATCCCGGGGCCGGGACCCCCTGGGCTACCGGTGCCGGTGCTCCAGGAGAGCCTCGAAATCCGGGGAGCAGACGAGCTTGTGCCTCACGTGGCCCAGCACCATCATCTCACCCGTGCGGCTGTCCCCGATGCCGACGGACACCAGCTCCTGTCCCGGGGCACAAACAGCCCTGAGCACCCCCGGGAGACCCCAAAGCTCCCAGAGGGGACCAGCAGGACCCCTCCCCGCTGTTATCAGCCCCTGGGGGGTTATTTTGGGGTGAACCCCCCCCAAATGGGGTCCCGGTGTCCCTTCCCTACCTGTAGGAAGGAGCAGGGGGTGCCCATGGTCACGTCCAGGGTGACCTTGCCCAGCACCAGCTGCACTTTTCCTGACTTTCGGATGAGCAGCTTCCCCACCTGGCCCTCGGGGAGGTCGGCCAGGGTGCAGGTGTTCTCTGCCTGCTTCGCCTCCTGCCAGGGCACAGCGGGACTGGGGTCAGCCCACTGGGGTCAGCCCTGGCACTGGGGTCAGCCCTGGGACTGGGGTCAGCCCTGGCACTGGGGTCAGCCCATTTCTCTGGGATCAGCCCTGGGACTGGGGTCAGCCCTGGGATTGGTATCAGCCCTCAGATTGGGATCAGCCCTGGCACTGGGGTCAGCCCTGGCACTGGGATCAGCCCCTGGGATTGGGATCAGCCCTGGCAGTGGGGTCAGCCATGGCACTGGGGTCAGCCCTGGGATTGGGATCAGCCCTCAGATTGGGATCAGCCCTGGGATTGGGATCAGCCCTGGGACTGGGATCAGCCCTGGCAGTGGGATAACCCCAACGGGACTGGGATAACCCCCTGGGACTGGGATCAGCCCACTGGGGTCAGTCCTGCCACTGGAGTCAGCCATGGGACTGGGGTCAGCCCATTTCACTGGGATCAGCCCTGGCAGTGGGATCAGCCCTGGCACTGGGGTCAGCCCTGCCACTGGGGTCAGCCATGGGACTGGGGTCAGCCCATTCCCGCTCCGGCACCTCCTGGCACTCGGATCACAGCATGGAATTGGGATCATCCTGTGAGACTGGGATCACCCCATGGAATTGGGGGGGACAGCACCACGGGATGAGGGGACAGCACAGGATTGGAGGGGAAAGGACACCACAAGATAGGGGGAGGACACCAGGGGATGGGGGGAACATCAAGGGATGGGGTGGAAAGGACACAATGGGATGGGGGGAGAGTGACACCATGGAATGGAGGGATATCATGGGATAGGGTGGAAAGGACACCACGGGATAGGGGGACATCCTCATGGGCTTGGAGAAGACAACACCACAGAAGGGGAGGACACGAGGGGACACCCCCAGCGTGCCCCCACCTGGCTCTTCTCCTGCTTCACCAGCAGCACCTGCCCATCCTCGCTGTGCAGCTCGGATTTGCTGGGTTTGGAGTCGTGGCTGGGGGGCTGCCCGGGCAGGGTGTCGGGGAGCTGCAGGAACAGTAGCTCCTCCTCCTGAGCCAGGCTCAGCCTCTGCAGCAGCTCTGCCGCCGACACGTCCCGCGGGAAGCCGGGGGGGCCCTTGGGCTGGGCCGGCTTGGGATCCTCCTCACACGGCTCTTCCTTCACTGCACAGGGGTGTGGGGGCACCGGGAAAAGGGGGACACCCCCAGCTTGTCCCCGCTGTGTCCCCAGCCCAGCCCAGCCCGGCCCGGCCCAGCCCAGTCCAGCTCAGCTCAGCTCAGCTCAGCCCATCCCAGCCCAGCTCAGCCCAGCCCGGCCCGGCCCAGCCAGGCCCAGCCCAGCCAGGCCCAGCCCAGCCCGGCCCAGCCAGGCCCAGCCCAGCCCAGCCCAGCCCAGCCCACCTTTACCTTTCACGGCTGGCGGGTCCAGCTCCATGTTCTCCTCCTTGGCAGGGAGCCATGGCTGCGTGTCCTCCCGCTCCGGCACCTCCTCCTTGAAGAGCCACCCCGAGTGGGCCAGGGGCAGCTGCACCGGCTTGTTCCGGATGTCGTTCTTCAGCCCCGGGTCATCCAGGAACTGTGGGGACAGGCAGGGGACACTCAGCACCCCGCGGGGTCACAGGGGACACTCAGCACCCTCCAGTGGCACAGGGGACACTCAGCACTGCCTGGGGACACAGGGGACACTCAGCACTGCACTGGTGACACAAGGGACACTTGGCACTGCCCTGGTGGCACAGGGGACACTCAGCCCTGCCCTGGGGACACAGGGGACATTCAGCACTACCCCTGGTGGCAGAGAGGACACTCAGCATCACCCTGGTGACACAAGGGACACTCAGCACTGCCCTGGTGACACAGGGGGCATTCAGCACTACCCCTGGTGGCACAGAGGACACTCAACCCTGCCATGGTGACACAGGGGACACTCAGCACCCTCCACTGGCACAGGGGACACTCAGCACTGCACTGGTGACACAGAGGACACTCAGCACTGCCCCTGGTGGCACAAGGGACACTCAGCACTGCCTGGGGACACATGGGACACTCAGCACTTCCTGGGAGCACAGAAGACACTCAGCATCACTCTGGGGACACAGAGGACAATCAGCACCTCCTGGTGGCACAGGGGGCACTCAGGATCACGTTGGTGGCACAGAGGACACTCAGCACTGCCTGGGGGCACAGGGGACACTCAGGATCACCCCAGGGGCACAGGGGACACTCAGCACTGCCCTGGTGACACAAGGGACACTCGGCACCCCCCAGTGACACCAAAGCCACCCCTTCCATGCCCGCTGACATCGTCCTTCTGCAGCATCCTCAGGATCTGCTTGGTCTCCTCGTCCGTCTCCCTCTTCTCCTTCTTGATGTTGATGATGTGGGAAGGGCCGAAGTCGGACACGTCCACGGTCCTGTCCCAGGAGCCTGCTGGGGACACAGCAGCAGCCCGGGGTCACCCCAAGGTGGGACCCCCCAAAACCACCAGAGGGAAGCCCCCCTTACCTTTCTTCTTCATCATTTCAGCGGGGCCCTGCTCGAAGATGGAGTGGGACTGGATGACCTCGGGCCGGTTCCGGCCCCGGCCGTGCCCGTCCCGCTGCCGCTCCCGCTCCTTCTTCTCCTTCTTGACTGCCACATCCTCGCGGGGCCTGGGCAGAGGGGCACAGCACCCCCAAATCACCCCAACATCCCCCCCACATCACCCCTGCCCCTGCCAGGGCATGGGGCCTGGGGGCAGAGGGGGCACATCACCCCCAAATCACCCCCACATCACCCCCACATCACCCCTGCCCCTGCCAGGGCATGGGGCCTGGGGGCAGAGGGGGCACATCACCCCCAAATCACCCCAACATCACCCCCAAATCATCCCAAATCGCCCCCTGCCCTGCCCCTGCCCAGACAAAGGGCTTGGGGCAGAGGGGGCATATCACCCCCAAATCACCCCCAAATCACCCCAACATCACCCCAACATCACCCCTGCCCCTGCCAGGACACGGGGCCTGGGGGAAGAGATCTCTACACGTCATCCAGAGATATTGGTGTGGATATTTGGGATGTTTCTGAGGATATTTGGGATATTTATATGGATATTTGGGATATTTATATGAGTGTCTGAGATTTCCATGGATATCTGGGATGTTTGTGTGGATATTTGGGATATTTATATGAGTATCTGAGATTTCCATAGATATTTGGGAAATTTATATGGATATTTCAGACATTTCTATGCATATTTGGGATATTTCCAAGGATATTCGGGATATTTATATGGATATCTGAGATCACCCATGGGTATTTGGGATATTTCCATGGATATTCAGGATATCCCCATGGATATCTGGGACACTTCCATGGATTTTCAGGATATTTATACAGATGTTTGAGAATTCCATGGGTATTTGGGATATTTCCATGGATATTCAGCATATTTATAGGGATATCTGAGAACTGCCATGGATATCTGGAATATTTCCATGACATTCAGGATATTTCCATGGATATCTAGGATATTCCCATGGATATCTGGGATATTTCCATAGATATTCAGAGTATTTATATGGATTTCTGAGAATTCCCATGGGTTTGGGATATTCCCATGGATATTTGGGATATTTCCATGGATATTCAGGATATTTATATGGATATCTGAGAATTCCCATGAATTTGGGATATTCCCATGGGTATTTGGGATATTTCCATGGATATTCAGGATATCTATATGGGTATCTGAGAATTCCCATGGGTTTGGGATATTCCCATGGATATTTGGGATATTTCCATGGATATTCAGGATATCTATATGGATATCTGAGAATTCCCATGAATTTGGGATATTCCCATGGATATTTGGGACATTTCCATGGCTATTCAGGATATCTATATGGGTATCTGAGAATTCCCATGGGTTTGGGATATTTCCATGGATATCTGGGACATTTCCATGGATATTCAGGATATCTATATGGGTATCTGAGAATTCCCATGGGTTTGGGATATTCCCATGGGTATTTGGGACATTTCCAAGGACATTTGGGATATTCCCATGGGTATTTGGGATATTCCCATGGATATCTGGGATATACCCATTGATATTTGGGATATTTCCATGGATATTTGGGACATTTCCATGGATATTCAGGATATCTATATGGATATTTGAGAATTTTGGGATGACACTCTCTGTTCCATGGATATCTGGGACATTTCCATGGATATTCAGGATATCTATATGGATATTTGAGAATTCCCATGAATTTGGGATATTCCCATGGATATTTGGGATATTTCCATGGATATTTGGGACATTTCCATGGATATTTGGGATATTCCCATGGATATTTGGGATATTTCCATGGACATCTGGGATATTCCCATGGATATCTGAGAACTCCCATGGATATCTGGAATATTTCCACGGCTCCCTGGGCTCCCCTCTCCCCCTCCCCTGGCAGAGGTGCAGCAGCCCCTGCCCACCCCGTGCCCCCCTGGCACCGAGCCCGCGCCACTCACTCCTCCTTGATCTTCCTGCTGATGATGTTGGGCGTGAACGTTTTCTGTGGGCAAAACAGAGAGAAAATCACCCCAAAATCCCCCCGAGCCGGCACCCACAGAGACAAGCAAGGCACCTGTTTTTTGGTTTTTTTTGGTTTTTTTAATAAATTCTTCCCAAGAATATTTCTGGGTTCCACACTCTCTGAACCTCAGAGAAAGGAAAAACAATTCTTATTTGCTGTGCAAAAGTAAAATACAATATAAAAATAGCTTCTACAAAAATTGGTTTTTTGTTTAATTATTTATATAAATATAGAATGTATAATGATTAATTCTATATTATTTAGAATTATTATTTATATATTCTTTATAATTACTTCTATAATTGTTTAATTATTTGTATAAATACAAAATTTGTTTAGCCAAAGAGACAGTACTTTATTTTCTTTGGCCTATGAGGGCCAGGGGTGTGTGTGAGTTGGGACTGTCAGCTCACAGCCATGAGATTCTGTGCAGTCCATTCCCCTCTCAGGGGGTCACCTGACTGGACCCCAGTTTGGGTAAAGGGGGGGTCTCACCTTTTTGACGCCGCCCAGGGTGAGGTCCCGGGAGCGGATGGAGGGCAGGCGGCCCGGGCTGAGGGGGGGGCCGGGGGGGCGCCGGCCCAGCACCCCCCGGGCCCCCGGGAGCCCCCCGGCACGGAGACTGCCCGGGGAGCCGGAGCTGCCAGAGCCCCCCTCGGCCATCCTGCGGGGAGGGGGCACGCTGGGGGGGGCTGCACCAGGCAGGGCTCGGGGCTGCACCCCAATAATGAACCCCTTCCCCCCCCCCAATAATGAACCCCCTGAACCCCCAAACAGGGCTCGGGACTGCCCCCCCCCCAGGAATGAACCCCTAAACAGGGTCTACATAACCCACGGGGGGTCGTGTTCCCCCTGCACCCCCAGGACCCCCTTGTCCCCGCTCCCAGGGGTCTCACCACCCCATACACCCCCAAACGGGACCCCCTTTTCCACCCCTCCCCAGGGGTCTCAGCCCAACCCCCCACACCCCAAACAGGTCCCATTTGTCCCCCCCTCCCCAACTTTCCCAGCCCCCCCAAACGGGACCCCCTGTCCCCCCATTCCCACCCCTTTACACACCCCCAAACAGGACACCCCGCCTCCCAGGGCTCCCATCCCCCTCCTCGCACCCCTCAGGACCCCCTGGACCCCCCCAAAATTCCTCCCCTCCCCCGCCACGCCGCCCCTTACCCTGCCCGGGCAGCCACGGGCTCGCCGCCCCCACTGCGCATGCGCCGCGCACGGCGCGCCCTTCCTGAGGCGACGCTGCCGCCGCCATCTTTGCTGAGGGCGCAGCGGGCTTGGCAATGAGCCGCCATCTTTGTGGTTGGCGTTGCCCAACCCTATGTGAGGGCGGCGGCGCCATCTTTGTGACGGGCAGTGCCCGGCTCTCCGGACTGGGCACCGGGGGCAGCGCTGGAGGGGACATTTTTGGGGGGTCACCCAGCCCTTCATTTAACACCCTCACGGGATTCCTGCAGCGCGACCACCCCCTCAGGGTCCTCTGCAGCTCCACAGCCAGCACCCCCACAGAGGGGGTTCATGCGTGGGCACCCCCTGGCAGAAATTTGGGGGGGAAACGAGGTTTTTGGGGCCCTCTCCCACCCGAAAAAAGCTTTGCCCCTCCAAGAAGGGTGTTTATTCCGTGCAAAACAAAAAGTCCGTCCGTCCGTCCACCCCCCGTGGGCTCTGCCCCCCATTCCCGCGGGGGTCCTGTGGGTACCAGCATTCCCACGCACATCCTCCATCCCGATTTTGGGGCCGGGGGGGAGTGTCCCCATGGTCCCGCAGGCGGCACAACCGGGACAGTCCCCCACCCGGCCCCAAAAATGGGGGGAACAGGCAGAACCTGCCCACCACCCACCCCCAATCTGCACCCACATCCCACTCTGCCTCCATCACCTGACGCCGCACGCATCCCTCCATGCCATTGGCAGAGCCCGCAGCTTTTTCCTTCCTCCCCCTTCTCTCGCAGCTCCTTGGATATCTATTTTTCCCTTTTTTTTTTTTTTTTTTTTTTTCCCCTCTCCGCTCCCTCCTCTGGAGGGTGTTTGCTATTTCCGAGCTGGCTGGGAGGATCCCAGTCGCATCAGCCGCAGGCAGCGACGCGGCACCGCCGGGTACCACCTCGCTCCCTCCGGCATCCTCCGTGCTCCCCGCTCGGACCGGCCCCGCCGGGGCTCCCTGTCCTGCCCTGCCGCTGCCCCGGCACCCCCGCGCCCCCCGGCACCCCCCCGGCACGGCCAGGTAAGGGCCTCGCGGGCTCGGTGACACCGGAGCGCCCGCCGAGCCCCGCTGGGCTGGGGCACGGCCGGGGGATGCTCGGAGGGCAGGGGGACGCGAGGGGACACGAGGCGCCGGGGACGCGGTGGCACGATGCGGCTGGCACCATCCCGGTGCGGAATTCCTGCGCCACCGCCGGGCGCGGGGACGGGGCAGCGAGGTGGCACCTTGTCCCCGGAGCGGTGACCTTCTGCCGCGCCCGAGGGCTGTGCCGGGGGGGTGACAGCGGCTTCGGGGCGCGGGGCTCCGCGCAGATGGGGCACACGCGGCCGTGGGTGGCCGTGGGTGCCGAGTGACGGGGACACGCGCGGCGTGGGTGGCCGTGGGCACACCGGGGGGGGCGGTGGCACCTTGGCAGCCCCCGCACAGACCCGGCCTGGAGGGTGGGGGGCTCCCTCGCCTCCAGCCCCCCGTCCCCGTGCCGTGGGTGCGACTCCGTGTCCCCCCTCGGCGGGCATCGCCCACCCCCAGAGCTCCTTCCTGGGGGAGCGGGGAAACTGAGGCACGGGCCGGGGCAAAGGCGGATCCAGCTTTTCCAGTGCCCGCGTCCAACCCTCCCCTCTCCCAGCAACTCCCTCGGCTCTCCCCTTGTTTTTCTTTCCCCACCCGGTGTTGAGCAAACCCCGAAACGCCCGCTGGCGTGGCGCCGGGGCCCCGCGGCACCCGGGGGAGCGGCCGGGGCCCCCGCACCCGACCGGGCTTGTTCCCGGCGTCCCGCTGCCTGCTGCTGCCTGCGCTGCCTATTCCTGGCTCCCGGCCGCTGTTCCACCCCGGTGCCATCTGCTCCGCCGCGGGCGGCCTTGGCAGCGCCGGCGTGGGCAGCGAGAGGGGGCTCGGCACCCCCCGAACCCCGCGCTGTGCCCGCAGGAGCCCAGCGCCTCCGGCCATGGAGCTGCTCTCCACCCCCAAAAACATCGAGATCAACAACATCACCTGCGATTCCTTCCGCATCTCCTGGGCTATGGAGAAGGGGGACCTGGAGAGGGTCACCCACTACTTCATCGACCTCAACAAGAAGGAGAACAAGAATTCCAACAAGTTCAAGCACCGGGTGAGCCGGGGGAGGACGCGGGACCCCCTGCCCGGGGAGGGGAGACGGGGCTGGCAGGGAGGAACTGGCTCTTAGCCCTCTCCAGCGCTGAATTTGGGTCATTCCCCTCACGGGACGCGCTGGCGGAGGGGACTGGGACGGGGATCGAGGGGTGACGGACCCCGCCGAGCCCCCGCGGGGGAGCTGAGCTGCTCCTGCTCCCCCTCCCCGTGCTGCGAGTCACTAATTCGGGCCGTTTTTAGCAGCGCCGTTGCCACGGTGATGCTATTTAATGTTTAACATTATTTTTTTTTTCTCTCCTCCCCAATAATAAGGGGTGGGGGGGTGGGGGGGGTGGGATATTTTTTTCCCCTCCATCTCCCGACTTCAGCATCCGCCGTTGCCACAGAAACGGCTCTGCACTGCGGAGCTGCTCCGTGGCCTATTGACACCGCGAGATGCCACCGGCAGCGGGGGGACCCCGAGGCCACCCCCACCGCGGGGACCCTGCGTCCCCACCGCAGCAGGGACACGTTTGGGGACACGGGCGGGGGAGCGCTGTGGGGACAGAGCGGGGGGGCGCCCCCAGACGTGTCACCAGGCTATTCTGGAGGGGTCTCCGTGGGTATTTTGGGGTGTGTGGTGCCCGGCAGCCCCCCCGCGGGGGGGTGGCAGGACGCCGTCCCTGACCCTCGGCGCTCGGCGCAGGATGTCCCCACCAAGCTGGTGGCCAAGGCGGTGCCGCTGCCCATGACGGTGCGGGGCCACTGGTTCCTGAGCCCCCGCACCGAGTACAGCGTGGCCGTGCAGACGGCGGTCAAGCAGAGCGACGGCGAGTACCTGGTGTCCGGCTGGAGCGAGACCGTGGAGTTCTGCACCGGGGGTGAGCGGGAGCGCCGCGGCCCCGGGCCGGGAGGGACGAGGGCGGCGTTCCCGGGAGCCCGGGGGGAGCACGGGGGCGATGCCGGGAGCCGGGAGGTGGGAAGGGGACGGGGGCGATGCTGGGAGCCAGGAGGGAGGGCGGGATTGGTGCTCCGGGAGCCAGGAGCTGGGCCGGGGATGGGGACGGTGCCGGGAGGATGAGGAGGACGGGGGCAAAGCGCAGGGCTGGGAGCCGGGAGGGAGAATGGGGTTGATGTCTGAAGCTGGGAGATGGAAGGGGAAAGAGGGCAATGACTGGAGATGAGAGGGAGGATGGAGATGGTGCCTGGAGCTGGGGGCAGGGAGGGAGAACGGGGCGATCCCTGGAGCTGGGAGTGAGAGGGGGTCAGCTCTGGGAGCAGGGAGGGGGAACAGGGGCGATCCTGGGAGTGAGAATGGGTCAGTGCTGGGAGCAGGGAGGGGGAACAGGGGCGATCCCGGGAGCTGGGAGTGAGAGGGGTCAGTGCTGGGAGCAGGGAGGGAGAGCAGGGGTGATCCTGGGAGCGAGAATGGGTCAGCTCTGGGAGCAGGGAGGGAGAACAGAGGCGATCCCGGGAGCTGGGAGCGAGAAGGGGTCGGTGCTGGGAGCAGGAAGGGAGAAGAGGGGCGATGCCGGGAGCTGGGAGCAAGACAGGGTCAGCTCTGGGAGCAGGGAGGGAGAGCAGGGACGATCCTGGGAGCGAGAATGGGTCAGCTCTGGGAGCAGGGAGGGAGAACAGAGGCGATCCCGGGAGCTGGGAGCGAGAAGGGGTCAGCGCTGGGAGCCACGGGGTAAATCGGGGGTGAAGTCGGGAGCCTCGAGCCGGGAGATAGGATGGGGGAAATGCTGGGAGCTGGGAGCCCGGAGGAGGACGGGGGCGATGCCGGGAGCTGGCACAAGCCGGGCCGGTTGGAGCGGCAGCTGATGAGTGGGAGGCGGGAGGTGCGGGGAGCTGCGGGCAGGGATGGGCTGCTGGAGGGGGATGGAGACGCCCTGATGTCCCCGTGCCTGTCCCCAGACTACGCCAAGGAGCACCTAGCCCAGCTGCAGGAGAAAGCGGAGCTGATCGCCGGCCGCATGCTGCGCTTCTCCGTCTTCTACCGCAACCAGCACAAGGAGTATTTCCAGCACGTCAGGTACCCCCGGCCCCACTCCCCACGCTCCCCGCTCCCAGAGCGCATTCCCTGACCCTGCCTGTGCCTGTCTGTGTGTCCCTCCTCCTCCTCCTCCTCCTCGTGGCAGGATGCACTGCGGGAACGTGATGAAGCCGTCGCTGAAGGACAACAGCGGGAGCCACGGCTCGCCCACCAGCGGGATGCTGCACGGCATCTTCTTCAGCTGCAACACCGAGTTCAACACCGGGCAGCCCCCGCAGGACTCGCCCTACGGCCGGTACCGCTTCCAGATCCCGGCGCAGCGCCTCTTCAACCCCAACACCAACCTCTACTTCGCGGACTTCTACTGCATGTACACCGCCTACCACTACGTCGTGCTGGTCCTGGCGCCCAAGGGCTCCTCGGGGGATCTCTTCTGCCGGGAGCGCCTTCCCCAGCTGGACATTTCCTCCAACAAGTTCCTGACGTGCTGCGTGGAGGAGGGCGAGCTGGTGTACCGCCACGCCCAGGACAGCATCCTGGAGGTCATTTACACGGAGCCGGTGGACCTGAGCCTCGGCGTGCTGGGGGAGATCAGCGGCCACCAGCTCATGAGCCTCTCCACCGCCAACGCCAAAAAGGACCCCAGCTGCAAGACGTGCAACATCAGCGTGGGGCGCTAAGGGCCGAAGGCGGGCAGGGCCGGGCGGGGGGACGGGCGCTGCCCGCGGGGGCTTCTCCCACGGACGCTGGTGGGTGCAGGACGCGGCCGGGCTCGGGGGATGCGGGCGCTGCCCCGAGGAAGGAGCCGGCGGGACGCTGCTCCGGCAGGGAGGCAGAGCCCGCGCCGCAGTGCGCCCCGAGGGAGGAAGCCTTCGTCTCCTGGAGTGGCCGGGCAGCAGCGCCCTCGCTGGCGTGAGCCCCGCGCTCTGCCCTGCTCCGCGCAGCCGCTGCGGGACCCCCCGCCCCTCCGGCGCCCCCCGCATCCCCCCGCCCCAGGTTCACTGGGGCTCCCCG